AAAAAAAAAAAAAAAAAAAAGGATACTCCCCCCACCTCTGGACAGAGGGCATTCCCTCGACAGAAAAACCCGCCTCTCCCTGTCTCCTAACTTGAGGTACAGCGCTCCCTTCCCGTCACCGACTGCTTAGCAATCACCTCGAGCCCTGGGGCAGGGGCGGGGTGTCAGGTGCCTTTACCCGACTTGTATGGGCTTGCCTGACGGTTACTTACCGGTTACCACTCCGCCGCAACTGCCGCCTTGCTGGTTTCCCTGCTTGGGACACACACGGAATGCAGAGGATCGCCCCCGGCGGCCAGCCCCTTGCCGGGGTCCCAGCAGCCCCCAGCCACGCCCCTCCGCCGCAGCCCGCCGCCCCCCGAGCCACGCCCCCGCGCTCACCCGCAGTCCGGGGCCGGGCACCAGCGGCAGTCCGGGTCAGAGGCCAGGTAGCGGCGCAGCATGAACTCCTCGTACTTGTGCATGAGCGGCGGGTCGGCTAGCAGCAAGCGGATGTCGTGCGGGTTGAGTCGCTCACTGCACTCGGGGCAGCTGATGGGCACCCTGCTCTCGCTGATCTCCAGGCGCAGGTAGTGGCGGAGGCAGTCCCGGCACGAGCGGTGCGGACAGCTGAGGAGGCGCGGAGCCCGCTCGGGCGGCAGCCGCACCAGGCACAGCGGGCACTCCACCTCCTCCGAGCCCGAGCCGCCGCCCTCTGCCGCCTCCTCATCGTCTAACCCGGGCTCCGCCGCCGCCGCGGCCTCCGCCTCGGCCTCGGCGGCCGGCTCCGCAGGCAGCGCTTCGGGCGGCGAGGCCTGGGCCGCGGCAGGGGCCGGGGCGGGTGGCGGCGGAGCGGCCGGGGGCGGCGGTTCGGCCTGCGGCTTGGCCCGGGCGCGGCGGCCGCGGGCCGAGGCGGAGAAGACGCTGTGGAAGGTGAGGCGCCGGCGCCGGCCGCCGCTGCGGCACTTGGGGTCGGGCGCGGCCGCATGTAGGGATGTGGAGCGCGGCGACTCGGAGTCCTTCTCGGAGCCCATGGCCCACAGAGGCCAAGGGGCCAGGGGCGCCCAGCGCCGCCACAGCTCCCGCCTCAGTGCCCCTCAGCCGGCGCCCGGCCGCCGCCGCCGCCGCCGCCACAGCCTTAGCAGCCCTCCCGGAGATAGGAGCCGAGCGGCAGCGACGAAATGGTTATAAAGCCTCCGCCCCGCGCTGCCTACTGCGCAGGCGCTTCGCCCAGACACCTCACAACCCCAGCGCCCCGGTCGAGGGGTGCGCTGGGCGGGGCCGAGCGGGGTGGGGCCGGGAGAGCTGGGGCGGAGCTCCGTCTCCTGCTGGTCAGGTGGTTCCAAGGCCGCCATATTGCGGAGACTCTGAGCGAGCCTGGCCCAACTGCTGTCCCTGGTCTCTGCCCCCAATTCCTTCACCCCGACTCCCATCATTCCCAAGGTGGACTTTTTGGTTCCCCGTTCTTCACAGGTTGACTGCCACTTCCAGTAAATGATGGGTCAGTTAACATTATTTATAAAAAGCAGACAAGGGTGGATTAGATGGTGACTCCCAACTGGTCTGTCTTCCAACATTTCTGTTTATTGGATTTACAGAATAAAGTCCAAATGTCTTAGTCTAGCATTCAGTGTTATGTATTTAATAAAGTCTTTGTATATAATAAACCATTTCTAGGCTCACCTACCATTCCATTCTGGTGTCTTGCTTACTTCCCAGACTTGTGGAAGAAGACCCAGCGTTTTCTTGCCTGGCAGTGCCTTTGCCTTTTTCTAGTTCCCTACTCCTCTGACTGGGGGAAGGATCTGGACCCTTAGGCTTCCTAGTGGGAGGCAGGCAAACAGCTTCAACAGCAGCAGGAATGTAACAGGATTACATTCAGTTGCAAACAACAAAAGAAGAAAATGGCTTACGATTGAAATTTATCTTTTTTTTTTTTCTGAGAGAGTTTTGCTCTATCACCCAGGTTGGAGTGCAGTGGTGTGATCACAGCTCACTGCAGCCTCAACCTCCCAAGCTTAAGCAATCAATCCTCCCACCCAGCCTCCCAAGGAGCTGGGAGCACAGGTGTGTCACCAGGCTATTAGTTTTATTTTTTCATGAAGATGAGGGCCCCCTGTGTTACCCAGGCTGGTCTCAAACTCCTGGGCTCATGCTATCCTCCTGCCTTGGTCTCTCAAAGTGCTAGGATTACAGGCATGAGTCACTGCACCCAGCCAGAAATTTCTCTCTCCATGAAATGTGAGTCCAAAAGTAGGCACTTCAGGGCTGTTCATCCATCCTCAGTATTCGGCTTTCAATCTTAAGGTCACCTCACTATGGTCCATAGTCCAAACAGTGGGAAGGAAAAAGGGAAGAAAGATGCAACTTCTTCCTTTTACAAAGACTGCCTTGGAAGTTCGCACAATTTTGATTACATCTCATTTGCCAAAACATACTCACATGGCCATACATTCAGCTGCAAGGGAGCCTGGGAAACATATTCTCTCAACTGAGTACAATGTGCCCAGCTAAAAATGGGTGCCCTGTTATTAATAAGGAATGGTAAATGGGTCCGGCGCTGTGGCTCACACCTTAATTCCAACACTTTGGGAGGCCTAGGCAGGTGAATCTCTGAAGCCCAGGAGTTTGAGACCAGCCTGGGCAACATGGCAAAAACCCATCTCTACAAAAAAATACAAAAATTACCTGGGAGTGATGGAGTGCACCTGTAACTCGGGAGGCTGAGGTGGGAGGAATGCTTGAACCTGGGAGGTCAAGACTGTAGTGAGCCGTGATCCTGCCACTGCACTCCAGCCTGGGTAACACAAAAAGACACTGTCTCGAAAGGTGGAAACCAGCTGTGATATTTAAAACCAGGTCCCCAGAACGTCAAGCTTTTGACATAAAACAAGGGGAGCCAACAAAGATAACTAAAAAGCAGGGGCCAGTGACATAACAGAAAAACTAAGCAGACATGATGTCATAGACACCAACATATGTTCCCAGAAGGGAGAGTGGTCAATTGTGACAAATGCTGCTGAGAAATCAAGAAAGATGGGCCCAGATTGGTGGCTCATGCCTGTAATCCCAGCACTTTGGGGGGCCGAGGTGGGCAAATCACGAGGTCAGGGGTTTGAGACCAGCCTGACCAACATGGTGAAACCACATCTCTTACAGGTGCCCCCTACCATGCCTGGCTAATTTTTGTATTTTTAGTAAGGACAGAGTTTCACCAGGATGGCCAGCCTGGTCTCAAACTCCTTGTTTTTGGCGACAGTTTCACTCTATCACCCGGCTGGGGTGCAGTGGCACGATCTCGGCTCACTGCAAACTCTGTCTCCTGTGCTCAAGCTATTCTCATGCCTCAGCCTCCCAAGTAGCTGGGATTACAGGCACACACCACCATACCCGGCTAATTTTTGTATTTTTAGTAGAGATGAGGTTTCACCATGCTGGCCAGGCTGGTCTCAAACTCTTGCCCTCAGGTGATCCGCCCATCTCAGCCTCCCAAAGTGCTGGAATTACAGGTGTGAGCCACCATGCTCGGCCCTCAAATTCAGGAGAATTATCCAGGCGTGGTGGTGCGCACCTGTAATCCCAGCTACTCAGGAGGCTGAGGCAGGAGAATCGCTTGAACTCAGGAGGCAGAGGTTGCAGTGGGCTGAGATCACGCCACTGCACTCCAGCCTCGGTGACAGAACAAGACTCTATCTCAAAAACAAAACAAAAAACAAAGTTAACAACAGAGAGGTGACCACTGAATTTGGCAACACCAAAGAGTCCTAAAGGAAGGGGAGGGTTTAATCTTCAACTAGGAAGATGGTTTGATGCTGGATGGCTAAAACAATGTCTACATTTATCTGGCAGAATAGGCTAGACAAATATCTCAATGGCTTAACACAACAATGGTATATCTTTTTCACTCATGTAAAGCCTGCTGTGGGTTAAGGCACTCTCCAGGATAGCTCTCCTCAACTCTCCTGCTTAACTCAGAGATCCAAACTACTTCTTTCTTGGGCTCCACCATCTCAATGCAAAGCCCTCAGTATTGCCTCAAAAAGAAAGCTCGAAGCTGGGCATGGTGGCTCACGTCTGTAACCCCAGCACTTTGGGAGGCCGAGGCAGGCAGATCACTTCAGATCAGGAGTTTGAGACCAGACTGGCCAACCTGGTGAAACCTTGTCTTTACTAAAAATACAAAAATTAGCTGGGCATGGTAGGGGTGCCTGTAATCCCAGCTATTCAGGAGGAGAAGGCAGGACAATCGCTTGAACCCGGGAGACGGAGGTTGCAGTGAGTGGAGATTGTACCACTGCACTCCAACCTGCGAGACAGAGTGAGACTCTGCCTCAAAAAAAAAAGAGAGAGAGAGAGAGAGAGAAAGAGCTGGAGTATTACACACCAACAATTAAATACTTCAGACTGAAAATGACACACATTACTTTCACTCACATACCATTAGCCAGAACTTGTCACACGAGTCCAATCTTAACTGCAAGCGAGGCTGGGAAATACAGGAAGAAACCATAAGCCACTTAGTAAGCAGTAGTATCATTTCTGCCACAGTTCCCTATAGTCATTTTTGACTCTGTTCTCAGTGCCCAATGTCCTGATCAATTGCAGAGCCCCCTTAGAGGAGGTATATGCTTATGGTGGGAACAGAGGGTAGGAGAGAGGGCTGCCTTGTTCCTTGGGTCAGATTGTGCTAAAAAAGATGGGGATCCCCAATTCCAGGTAGACCCAGATGCCTTTTAGATGCTTCTCCCTGTTGTGCAGCTGACAGAAAGAGCTGTCAGAATCCCAGCTTGCTGGAAGGCTCAACACCACCAAATGTTTGCTTGTCTTGGCTCTGACTTCCAAACAAATTTGGCCTCAGCTCAAAGCTGCCACCGTCAGTGGTTTGGGGGAAGATAATTTCTCTTAAATGCCACTGGACTTTGCAATGACCCCAATTCGATTGGGTTTTCTTCTCTCCTGAGACTATCACCCTTGAATAAAAGAACTAAAGCAATTCCTCCCACATTTCCTTCTGTGTCTCTTCTTGATAGAAACTGAGTAGTGACTCAGAGATGGCATGAGGAAGAAAAAGATTCTCACTCATCTATTCACTCATTCAGTAAAGATTTATTATACTTACTTTGTGCTAGGCTCTTTGCCAGCTGCCAGGGTCATGGAGATGAAAAACATAATCTACTGGGAGTTACAGAAGAGATGGTAGATCACTGGGATACCAGGTGATGAGGACATGTAGAAAAAAAGAATGACGGACCAACAGAGGGTATGGCAAGCTCTGCTTAGGGTGGTCAGGGATGGCTTTCCTGAGGAGGAGCCCTTTGAGCTGGATCTCAAATGATGAATATGAGTTGACAAAGTCAGAAGAAGGGGAAAGGACATTCCAAGCTTGGGGAGCAAGGAGGAAAGGCATACAGTGTGTAAACACAGGATAAGTCTGAGGAAGTATGAGCATCAAGGTTGACAGGAGTAGAGAATGTTTGAAAGGACATGAGCGAGAAGTGAAAATGGAAAGGTTCTGGCCAGGCATGGTGGCTCATGCCATAATGCCAGTACTTTGGGCAGATACTTGAGGTCAGGAGTTTGAAACCAGCCTGGCCAATATGCAGAAACCCTGTCTCTACTAAAAATACAAAAATTAGCCAGGTGAGGTGGTGCTCATCTGTAGTTCCAGCTACTCGGGAGGCAGACGAGAATCACTTGAACCTGGGAGGCAGAGGTTGCAGTGAGCTGAGATCACCCCACTGCACGCCAAGCCTGGGCAACAGCATGAGACCGAGTCTTAAAAAAAAAAAAAAAAAAAAGAAAAGAAAAAGAAAATGGACAGGTTCTGTATTATGGCTCCATTGGATGCAAGGACCAGAAGCCTAACATGAATAAGGCTATGGCAAAGGAGTGATTTTTTGGCTTTTATAACCTTTTGAATCCTTTGTATCATAGCAACTGCATCCAGGAAGGGCAGATCTTGTACTCCATCAGATCCTGCATTCCATCATTCATCATTGCTTCTCTGCATGCCAGCTTCTTCTTTTTTTATTGCCTAAAATATACAAAACATAAAATCTACCATTTTAACCAACTGTAAGTGTAAGTTCGGTAACATTAAATAAATTCATATTGTGTGCGACCATCACCACCATACATTTCCAGAACTTTTTGATTTTCCCAACCTGCAATTCCATAGCCACTAAGCATTAACTCCCTCTTCTCCCCGCTTTATTTTTTTAGTCTACTCCTCTCTCTTGCTGGAACTGTAGGAATCCCTGGCTTATGTGTCCTAGCTTCCTCACCAGAGAGAAGTCATTATCTTCCCTTTGTTCCAGATTCTCAAAATTCTTCAGAACAACACCGACTGATGAGGTTTGGCCGTATACTCACATCTGTGGTGATGCGAGATGGAATGCTATGGTTGATAGGCTGTACCTGAACCATATGGCTGGACCAAAAGGAGGAGCAATTCTCTAAAAGGAAGGAGCTACTCTTTCAGAAGGAAGGAGGGAGGGGCCAAACATGAGCAGATGAAATATGAAATGTTCATCAGAGATAGCTTGAGACCCAGCTACAGGAAGCCTTGAGTGCCAGGCTGAGG